GGGGGAAACAAACCTCATCTCCGATCGACGTTGAGAAGCCGGTCGGAGCTTGCCGCACAGCCGCAACTCGGCGCCTCTGGAACCGCACAAAAGCAAAGGCACCTTGAACTCGGCGAGACCTACACCTGGCTGGGACCTCAACAACAAGGGTGGGTCGGCTTTGCGGACTGGTGATGGCCAGAACCTGGCGGGCGGAGAGCCCGAGAGGAAGGAGGCGACAGTGGAAGCTTGGAGGCGGAGGCTAGGGTTTGGATTTGGGAATTGGGGAAACCGGGAGTTTTCTTACAACTTTCTAATTGAATAGAATAGATTATATAATAGGCTTGCTTTCTAACCTTTGCGTCTATTCCTTGTTTTGGCCGTACAACTTTTTCAAGAGCAAAATTGATCCCACAATAATTCAAGTACTCACTCATTAACAAAATAAAAAAATAAAAAATAAAAATCGACCTTTCACATTTTCACTCAAACAGGCAAACTCTCATGTAGAGCTCGCTTCCAAGTTTCGAGAAAAAAAAGAAACCACTCAACCAAAAGAAAGAAACCACTCCTCAATCCATGCCATTTATTTTTATCCAAGCTCTCATCTCTCCTTTCCTTGAGATTCCACGGTCTTGTCGTCCCCATTCTCCATCTCATCTCCCGTTAGAGCCTCCCTGCAAACTCTTACCCCGAAGCTTCTCATAGTCAGAGGCGGTTGAAGATGGCGGCGACACGTTTCAACGACCTCATAGGCGTGCGACCCTAGAAGCTGCGAGCCTTTCCCGCGAGGTTTCAGAAATTGTACGATTGAATTTTAAAATTTATTATTGTGATGAACAATATTTTTTTAGGATTATGTTAACAAAATTCTTGGTACAATGAACTTAACTAGGTTGAATATTATCGTTGCTGTTGCAATATAGATTTATGCTTGCCAAATAAAATCCTAAATTTCTAATCGGCCATTCAAATAGGAAAAGATATATTCTAGACGTGGCCAATTGACGGGCCGCAACTCGGCCCGTTGGGTCAGCGGGCCTCAATCTCATGGCTCTTGACCGGCCCGCCCATTTATATGGGTCGGTTCTACCGCAGGATCACCGACCGGCGGATTTCAGGCAGTTCAGGGCCGGTATGACCCTTAAAAAAACATTGTGGCATGTCGTTCAACCCTTGGCCCGACCCCACCTGACTCGGACCGCCGGGACCAAAAGAAATAAATTATGAATCGAGACCGAATCGCTGCCCTAAGTGTCAGTAGGGCCAGTTCGGGCCAGACCGGGACTGATTCACAGGTCAGTTCACGGGCCGGTTCGGCCCGTGGACATGTTACTGTATTCTCATTCACAAATCTTTGTTTATGAAGGTCTAAAATTTGTCCCCTTTTAATGTATTTATCCCGCCGAACCTGGGGTTTTTGATGCATACAAGTCTTTTTGTTAGAACGTTGATACATAACTAATGGAATACTTAGAGTATCTCCATTCCATGAGAAAAGGATCTTGTCAGTATCTATAGAAATGATCTTTCCCCCACGTTCAACTGTAGCAATAGCCCCTGAATCTAGAGCTGCTTGGCGTTCTAACCCAGTCCCTGCATTTCTTCGACCGAGAAAGCGGAACTGCCTGACGTTGCATATTCGAACCCATTAAAGCCCTATTCGCGTCATTATGTTCAATAAAAGGGGTGTGGAATTGTAGAGGGCTGGGAGGGCCCTCTACAGTTTCCCAAATCAATTATTCAAGAAGAATCCACCATCCACATATTATCTTTCTTTTTGAAACAAAAAAAAAAACAAATATTTTAGTAGAACTGTTTGCAATAAACTGGGATTTTAAGACAGATGGCATTTTGAGGAACCTGAGGGGAGTAAAGGGGGTCTTTTGCTTTTGTGGGACCAATCTGTTGAAATCATAAAGCTGGTTGGGAATGAGTTTTGTATCCAGGTGGAAGTTAGAGGCCCTGGAATGAATGATTGGTGTTGTCTTGTCTTTGTGTATATGAGTACTGAGAGAAATCTGAGGTCACTGCAGTGGGAGTTTCTGCTTGAGAAGAAGGGTGATTGGGGTAGTTGTTGGGAAATTGCTGGGGATTGGAATGATATAGTGAGTAATGAGGAGAAAAGAGGAGGGCTGGTGAGATCAGAGAACAGTTTTTTGCCTTTCAGAGATTTTATTGTGGGTATGGAAATGCAGGAGCATGATCAGAAAGGAGCTTTCTTTACATGGGGGAATAGTAGAAGGGGGGATGGCCATGTTGAGAAAAGATTGGATAAAGTGTTTACATCTCATGATTGGCTGCTAAAGTTCCCTAAGATGGAGGTATCCAACTTTTTCAGAAGTGCATCTGACCACAATGTAATTCTTTATGATACTGAGGTAGAGCTGCAGCAACCTGGAAAGAGATTTGTGTTTGACAGAAATTGATCAGGATGGAGGGTATTGAAGAAGCAGTGTCTAAGGGTTGGGGTGAGGAAATGGAGGGCTTTGAAATGTTCAAAGTTCACCAGAAGGTGAAAAATACTAAAAAGGCCCTGCTGTTCTGGTATTCTCCCATGAAGAGGAACAACGAGAAATTGATTCTATCTCTTACTGCTAAAATGGAAGATATGAGAGCTGAGGGGAGAGAGATGGATTGTACTGCCTGGTGCTCCACCAAGTTTGATCTTGATAAAGCTTATATGGAGGAAGAACAATACTGGAGGGCTAAGTCCAAGGCTCTGCGGATCAAAGCAGGTGACAAAAACACACGATTTTTTCATGTTGTTGCTGCCCAAAGGAGGAAGAGAAATTCCATTCTGAGGCTAGTGTCTGGGACAGGAGAGGTGATTGAGGACAAGAAGAAACTGGAGGAGCATAATCTTAATTTCTACTCCTCATTATTCAAATCATAAGGCTCTATAAGGGGAGAAGAGCTCCTCTGTCATATACCCCAGTGCATATCAGATGTTATGAACAATGAATTAATTAGACAGGTTAGTGATGATGAAATCCATGCATCTCTCTTTAGTATGGCTCCAGAAAAGTCCCCTGGGGAAGATGGGATGACTGCAGTGTTCTTCCAACATTTCTGGCACTTGGTGAAGAAGGATATTTGCAAAGCTGTGTCTGACTTCTTCAGATCAGGTACAATGCTCAAAAGCTGGAACAACTCTGTGATATCCCTGATTCCTAAATGCCTCTATCCTGAGCACTTGAGCAGTTACAGACCTATAAGCCTATGTGGGGTTCTGTACAAGATTGTGGCTAAAGTGTTGGCAGAAAGATTAAAAGGCTGTTTGGATGGATGTATAAGTGAAGCACAGACTGCATTTGTGCCTGGGAGGCAACTCCTAGACAATGTGGTGATAGCCCACGAGGTCTTTCATTTCCTAAACAGACATAAGACAGGCAAGAATGTTTTTATGGCATTAAAAGTGGATATGGAGAAGGCATATGGCCTTGTGGAGTGGAATTGCATCAGGATGACCATGAAGAAGATGGGCTTTCATTCTAAATTTATCAGATGGATTATGGCCTGTGTCTCCACTTCAACATTTTCTTTCAGTCTCAATGGCAGTGTTAGTGGATTTATCACTCCTACAAAGGGGATTAGGCAAGGTGATCCATTATCACCTTACATCTTCCTCCTTGTTTCTGAACTATTCTCAGCTGGGATAGCTCATCAGGTGAATCAGGGATTATATAGGGAGATTAAATTGTCTAAGGATGGCCCAATGATTACTCACCTTCTATTCGCAGATGATGCACTCTTATTTTGTAAGGCAGATGAACATCATGCCATGCTGCTGATGAGTGTGCTTCAGAAATATCAGGAGTTTGCAGGTAAAAAGGTGAACCTTCATAAATCTTTTATGTTCTTGAGTAGAAATTACCCTGAAGCTATGAAGGAGAAGATTTGCTGTATTCTGCCCGGGGTGATTGTGAAAAGATCATCAAGGTATTTAGGGCTTCCACTGGGGATTGGGGCATCTAAGATTGAAGCTTTTCAGTTTGTGGTGGAGGCAGTCAGAAATAGAATTTGTAGTTGGAAGAACCAATTTTTATCTACTGCTGGGAAAGAAGTTATGGTTAAGTCAGTGTTAAATGCACTGCCAATCTTTGTAATGTCCTGTTTTGTGTTGCCTTCTGGAATTTGCAAGGATATCTGTAGATTGCTGGCTAAGATCTGGTGGAAAAAGGGAGAGGGCAATAGTAAAGGTGTTCACTAGCTGACTTGGGAGAAGATGACATGGTCTAAGTAGAATGAGGGATTAGGGTTCCAAAATATCAAGGTATGTAATAAAGCATTGATTCTGAAACAGATTTGGAGGATTTGTGAGAAACCTGAGCTGCTTATTAGCAAAGTGCTGAAGTCCAGGTATTTCCCAACTTGCTCCATTTTTGATTATCCTAAAAAGTCTGGTGTTTCATGGTTATGGAGCTTTTGGTCATCCTTTATCCCTTAGTTGAAAAATTATATGAGCATTGTCATTAAGAATGGGGCTGACACCAAGCTAAATGAGTTTGGGTGGATTCTTGAGATGAAAGGGGAGAAACCTGAACTCAGGGTGCATGTTGATGGCAATCAATTTAGAGTGAAAGATCTTCTTTTGTCCAATGGTAGGGACTGGGATGAAGTGTTGGTGAAAGCCTTGTTTCATTCTAAAGTGGCTGAGAAAATTTTAGCCATTAACACTCTGAACCCCAGGCTTGCTGACTTGAGACAGTGCACTTTTGTTGACAAAGGGAGGTTTTCTGTCAAAAAAGTTTATGAGAAGCTGTGCAGAATCGAATGGGGCAGGAGTCTTTGGGCTGAAACTAGCAGATTAACAATGAACAACAAGAGAGCAAGGCTGAGGTGTTGGAATCTTAAGGTGACAGGTAAGGTGAAGATTTTTATATGGAGATGTTTTACCAATATATTGCCTGTGAACTACAATCTGAAGAGGAGAGGGATGGAGATTGATCTTATATGTAAATGTTGCGGGGAAATGGAGGAAACTGTGGAGCATGCCATGTTCTTATGTTCCAAAGCTAAAGTAATTTGGAGATTGGCTCATGTTCAATGGCAGAAACCGGTAGAGGGAGAAGATATTAAATTCCAAGATTATTGGTGGTGACTGAGTTCAATGGACTACAAAGAGACTTCAGAAGATAGAATTCAGTTAACCACATATATATTATGGTGGTTATGGAAGGCGAGGAATTTGTGGGTGTTTGAGAACAAAGAGCTGACAGCTAAGATGATCATCAACAGTGTTGTGCAAGATTGGAGGGATTTTAATGAAGTTTAGCTGATTTTAATGGGGTTATGCTAGGTCTCGAGTCAGTGGTGTATCCTTATTAGGGTTCTAGCTTGCTTTGGCTGATATGCGCATTGTATCTGTTCTTGGTTGATTAGCTGATTGTTAGTAGGTTTTTTAGCTGATAGTATTTCGTTTAGGCAACACCTGTGCGTAAGGCAGTGTACTGAATTTGTCCATTTTTGGCCGATTGGCCTAATATTATGAGTGTTGATGTCTTGGAAAAAAAAAAATTATACTTTTACCTCCATTATATTCTTAATTAAAAAAATACTAAACAAAGTCATAAATATTACAATTATACCTAAATAAATGTGTAACTGTTATTAATAAAATTTAGGCAAATTAAATACAATTGATATCTAGTCAAAGATACCCAATCACTCTGCAAAAAAATCGTTCATATAATTGAAGAATTCTCTGTCGTGAGATTTTTTCTCTCTAGACCCTAGTTCCATTCTTTGGA